TTCCCCCCCACCCTATAAAACAAAATCCTTCTATTACGGGAAAAAAATAAAAATTAGAAAAGAAAAAAGAAAAATGCAAAGACTAGCTACCATTGCTGTTTTACTTTCCAAAATCCTTCTCCACTGTTAACCTGCCACCACCGCACCATAAAGCACAAAGGCCATCAATTGGCACTGGCAAGATTTTTTAAAGCTAAACGTCACCTCAAACGACCAGATGCTACTATTTTCAGTTCCTTTTTAAATATATTTTAGGCTTTTTGAAAAATAATAGATAAGATTGAATTGAATCGTTTGCCAAGATTCTGTCTCCTGTTTAGGCTTGCTGCTTTCTTTTCTTCAGTTCTTCTTCCCTCTATCTGTCTCTCCCGATTTTTCTCAACATATGCTATTTTCTGTCTTTATCCTATCCTTATATTCTCGCCTAAATTTCATGTAGTTCCATGCTATCCCGGAAACATTGGTGTTAACCCCAACTGTCCATGCCACAAAACAATCTCACAATAAAATAGATTCAACAAAATGCTGGAAATTTAATTACTCCTATTGCGGTTTTCTTTCCTTTTTTGATGAGCACTAAACACTTACCTCCATCTCAGCATCACTAAGATATCCAACTCTTAGCTTTGTGATGTCAACTGAGAATGGATTATCAAAGGGAATGTTTCTTGATGAGAGATCACCTGGATCCTTCCCTCTAATGGCATCAAGAACAATTGCGCAATCTGCAGCACTTCTACAGAAAGGACCAAGCTTATCCTGTTAAACAGACATGATTTGTAAATTAATCAACAGCCATCTGGTTGAGGGGACACTCAACATAAAGAGGAAGATATGCATGATATTACCAGGCTTTCAGATAAGCTCATTACTCCAGTTCTACCAACTGTCCCAAAAGTTGGACGTAATGCTGTCACACCACAACGAGCTGCTGGGTAGATTATCGACCCAGCTGTTTCTGAACCAATTGCAAATGGAACCATTCCTGCAAGGACGAATATAAATGAATAAGTATCAGTTACTGTTCTTGCAAATTCATTCGGTGATCAAATGTTTTTGTCATGGCCGTGTGAAGGAAGATTTATTCGAGAATAGTAAAAAAACAGTAGTAGAGAGGAGAACACATATTGGCTCAGCCAAAAAAAAAAAAGAAAAAAGAATACCAGCAGAGGTGCAGGCAGCAGGTCCAGCCGAAGAACCGGTAGAGAATTCCTCAATGTTCCAGGGATTCCTTGTCCTACCCCCAAACCAGATGTCATCATATGCTAATGACCCAGTAACAAGCTTTGCAACAAGGACTGCTCCCGTAGACTTCAATCTTATTCAACAAAATTAAAAAGTGAGTTGGTTAAATGAGACTGATGAGTGCTCAACCTACCCACAAGAAGTTAAAAGCATCACAAAACATAAATAACAGAGACCTTTTATAAACCCAGGCTTCGATGTCAAGAATTTGAGACATAAAACTTGTTGAACCCCAAGTGGTCTTGTAATGGGGTACTGATATTATATCCTTCAACCCGTAGGGAATTCCATGGAGAGGTCCTGTAAAGCACAATTTTAACTCGAAAGCAGAAATATAAAATTTTTACCAAATCAAATATTTCAGGTTCTGGAGACAGTCAACAGGTGATTGACATAAAAAAAATTTCACTGTTACGAAATAAAGTTATAACTACTCTCAGATAATTATGACAATGTTAAACAAATCAATGGTACCCAAATATATTCCTTGAGCAAGCAATTTGTCAGCTTCTTCTGCTTGCCAGTAAGCTAACTCTTCTGTATAAGTAACCACAGCTTCAAGAACAGGATTATACCTGGGTTTTTCAAGAGATTCATTATTATTATCTTAAAAAGAACTTGCATATCAAAAAGAAGCTCCTTTGTGTTTTTCCCAATTACCTCTTCAACCTCTCAAGATAAATTCTAGTGAGTTCCTTAGATGTAATTTGCTTGGTCTTAATGATTTCACCAAGTTCAAGAACCTGGTTAGGATTTTGACCAAGTCAAAAAAATGATAAAAAAGATCCGGTGTACTACAGGATATTAGTAATATTATTATAGCAATGGACATACACTCATGAAGGCAATATCTTCCTCACTTTTCGGCCTTTGAATACCAGAAATAGAAGGGTGAGTAAATCTTTTGCTTTCTTCTCCGGCATATTCCTCATCCCACCTAGGATTAAAAACCAAGGGAAATGGATTCTCTAATCCTCCATCAACAGAAGCAACTAGTTTCCTGTTTGTTCTTATTATAGGTATATTGAACTCTGTTGCTCCCCTTGCAATCTCCAGAATCTAAACCAGAAAAGAAATTCATATAAACAACATCAAAGAATTCTATAATCAAAATAGTTCACCTAATTCCTTATGCACTCCTATATAAAATGAACCAAATCACCTTGGTATCATTGAAGAAATCAGCATCCAATAGCTTAAAAGCCCTTCTAATTTGCGAAGCTTCATCTTCTGGATATTTGGTATTGTTATTGCTGTCCTGATGAAAAGACCGTTAAAAAAATAATAATAACAATGAAGTTCATGGACATGATATGACAATAAATGATCTCGTGGTCCAATTTAGGGAATATATTTATGTATTTACCCCATTTAACCTACTTTAGAAATGATAGGAACAAAACCTGGATTTTCCATTTAGAGGGGATCATCGTACATATCAGGGTTCCCATACAAACAAAATTTTCTTCTTCAATCAAATCTTAAAAATCAGTGAAAACAAATTGAAACTCACCCTAATAGTTTTCTTTATTTCCCCATACTCATTTCTCTTTCTGCTTTTTGTCCCTTGCTCATCTCCTCTAATTCTCATTTTACCTACTTGACTAGCCGCCTTCTTGAGTAACAGAAGCCTCCTTCCCATTTAGGTTCTCTCCACTGCCAGTCACCGCTACCTCTCACTCTCGCCGGTGTTTACCTGTGACCGCACGACCCCGAGCTGGTAACTGTAGAAATGGTAGTGAAAAAAAGATTTTGTAATTTTTCATCTCTATCTTTATTGTGTACAAATGTGCATTTATATACACATAGAGAAGGAGGAATGCTCTGATCGAGGAAAGAGAAAACAAACCCTAACAAATACTCAACAATGCAAAAACAAAAAAATTCCAGAACCTACTTTTTACAGTTGTCCTCAACAAATGACATCTTTTAATTTTCACCGTCTACTTGTCTTGAATCCCAGCATGCTCTTCACCTGGCCCTTCATTTTCTGCTTTCGATCTTGACCATTCATTTGCTTCAAAACTCTAGCAGGAAACTTTTCAATATTTTACAGTCGCTCATCAAGGTGAAATACGCTTGTAGTTCTGTTTCTCTGAACACCCATTCTCTCAAATCGATCCATGTTTGAATCCGCCTTAGAAGTGTTTCATCTTGAAAAGAAGATGATGGTGGGCTGTTGTGCCTAGTGGTTTTGTGAGTAGGTCTGCGAGTTGCTCGCTCTATTTTGATAAAACTACTTAAGACTTTGTTGCGAACAATATGACAATCTATGTCGATGTGTTTTATTCTTTCGTGAAACACAGGGTTTGTCGCGATGTGCTGTGCGGCTTTGTTATCACAGTGTAATATGATAGGCAAATAAAGCAGGACCATGAAGTCCTTGAGTAGTTAGGTAATCCATGTAGCTCGCACACAGTTGAAGAATGCTTCTATATTCGGCTTCTGCGGATGATTTACTGACTGTCGTTTGTTTTTTTGTTTTCAGGATATCATCAATGGCCCCAGAAAAATGCCAAAAACCCGTGGTGGATTTACGAGTCATCGAGCATGATGCCCAGTCCGAGTCACAAAAGGCCCGAATTTTGTAGTTGTTCTCCTTTGGAAAATACAAGCCTTGCTCTGGGTACTGTTTTAAGTATCTAACAAGATGGAGTGCGGTGTCTAAATGCGGCTTCCTGGGTTGTTGTATGAATTGGCTCAAGTATTGAGTGAAGTAAAAAATGTATGGTCTGGTGAAGTTGAGATAAAGCAGCCTCCCGATCAAGTGTCTGTATTTTTCTGGATTCGATAAGATTTCACCCTCTTCCGTGTTTAATTTAACCCCGTTGGTAAAGGGAAGTGACTTCTTTTTGCCTCTTGCATGCCTGTGTCTTGTAGTATGTCTTTAATATATTTTCATTGGTTGATGTATATTCCCCCTTTTGACCTATTTATTTCAACGCCGAGAAAGTATCGTGTCTGTCCTAGATCTTTTATCGTAAATGCCTCATTCAACGCTCTTTTGATTTCGTTGATTTCTTTCTTATCTTGCCCTGTGATAAGTAAGTCATCGACATAAACGACTATTGTAAGGTAATTTTTTTTACTTTCTTTTGTAAATAAACAATGGTCTGCTTCAGATTTGGTAAATCCAATCGAATGAAGTTTTAAAGGAGCTCTTTAGTCCATTGGCGTCCAGCTTGCTTTAGCCCGTATAGACTTCTGGTTAAGCGACTGACTTGTCCTTTGCTTGCTTTAGTGTAGCCCTCTGGAGGTTTTAGGTATAGTTCTTTCTCTATGTAGCCATGTAGATATGCATTATTTATGTTCAATTGATGGACAGACCAACTATTTTCAGCCGCTATGACAAGAAGTAATCAGACAATTACCATTTTGGCTATCGGTGAAAAATTATCGTGGTAGTCGATTCCAAATTCTTGGCTGTAGCCCTTAGCGATGAGTCTCGCCTTGTATCTATTGTTCTATCTGGGTTGTGTTTGATTTTATACACCCATTTTGAGTAAATTGTCTTTTTCCTTCAGGCAGCAAGGTTAGTTCCCACGTTTTATTTTTTTCTAGTGCAACTAGTTCGGCTTGCATAGCTTTAATCCACCTACTGTCCTTCTTAGCAACTTCATATGATTTTGGTTCTTGTATAATCAAGACACGTGCAATAAAATTGACATAGTCATGATTGTATACAAGTGGGTTTGACATAAAGAAAAGAAAGTCTAGAGATGGTGTTTTGGTCATGTGTGCCACAAAAGCCTCCATCCAGAAAGGCCTAACCCTCACCCTGGTACTCCTTCGAATTTCCGGTTCTTGAATTCTAGGTTCAAGTATGGTAACTTCCCTTCTGTTATGTGGTTGGTTTTCATTGTCGTCTGATATGATTACATTGAGTATTGGTAATGGTGTATCTTGATAATTGGTTTGCGGTGATTGTGATTGATATGGGTAAACATATTCATGAAATATAACATACTTTGACATGAATAATTTTTTGTTTGAAATATCATATAATTTGTATGCTTTGACACCAACTTCATACCCCAAAAAAATACATTTTAAAGTTTGTGCATCGAACTTTGTCTTTTGAGGGTGTATGTTTGTAGTAAAACACAAACAACTGAATGTTTTTAAAATAAAATAATCCGGGTGTTTTTTATGTAAGATTTCATAGTCAAAATATTTATTATATATGTATCCATGTGAATGAATTCCCCCCAAAAAACTTTTGGAAAATTTGACTCAAACATTAATACTCTAACAACTTGTAAAAAATGCTTATGCTTTCTTTCTACCAGACCGTTTTGTTGTGACGTGTAAGCACAAGTTCTGTGATGCACAATGCCTCTTTCTTGGAAAAAGTCTTTACATAATTTATTCACAAATTCATTATCGTTATCAGTTCTAACAGTTTTAATGGTTTTTTTAAACTGATTTGACACAAAATTGTAAAACATAAGAAGCTCCTGAAATATATTGAACTGAATAAGGACCCCAAAGATCAACATATATTAATTCGAAAACATCATTAGTAGTAATACTACTCTTGAAAAAAGGTAAACGTTGTTGTTTTGCTAAGGGATATATTTTACAAATATATGAATCCATTTTGTTTGAAAAATTCAGGGTGGGAAAATGAAGTAGCTTGTTCATTGATGTGTAGCCGAGTCTTTTGTGCCAAAGTTGTAGGGTGTGGCTAGTGCATGACTTTTCTGGTTCTATGTCTTTGCTCAGGGTGTACAGGTCTCCCTTTATTCTACCCTTCTTTAATTTTCTGTTAGTCATCAAATCCTGCACACACAAAAATGGTTTGGATAGAAAGAAACGTAGATATCTGAGACTTGAGTCAATTTTCTGACAGAGATCAAGTTACACGCAAATTTTAGTATGTAAAGAGCATCATGTAGGGTCAGGTCATTGTATAGTTTTATGGTACCTTTATATGTTGAATACCCTCAGGGTTCCATAGGATAAAGAGACAGATACTATGGGTTCTAATTTAGTGATTTTAGTGAGCAAGCTAAAATCATGACATATGTTTGATGTTGCACCTATATCGATTATCCATGTACTTATATCAGTCGAGGTGTGTAAAAAGTAGCAGTTAGACTGTTTACCTGCAGCGCCAGAGTAGCCCACGCATTCTGCCGATTCCATTGTGCTTCCTCCATAACTTTTCATGTATTTGCTGATTTCCTACTGCATAATGTTAGTCATTTTTGCATTCCAACTTGTTGTGATCGTCGTTTCCCCTTTAATGTCAGTGGGATTTCCATTTGAAACAGCATTTACTTTTTCTTTTCCTTTTTTCCCTTTGAGTTCTGTGAACCATTCGGGATAGTCGTGGAGTTTGAAGCATGTGTCTCTAGTGTGTCCTGTATTCCTGCAATGAGTGCATATTTTGTTGTCTTTATCCCTTCTTCGGTTCTGTGGCTTCAGAGTTTCTTTCTGGTTGGCATAAAAAACGGTTGGCATCCCCTCGGATGCATTGCTGATTTGCACTTCTCCTTTTCTCTAAACACTGAGCACCATTAAGCTAACTTTGTTAACAGTGGGTAATGGTTCCATAATCAAGATTTGATTACTCACATGATCATATGTATCATTAAGACCCATTAGAAATTGGATTAAGTTGTTTGTGCTGTCAATTTCACTATGCAGATTAGCAGCATTGCAGGTACATGCAGGTAATGGTCTTAGGTAACTTAGTTCATCCCAAAGCTTTTTTAATTTTGTAAAATAAGCAACAACTGAAAGACTTGATTAAATAATTGAACTAATTTCTCGTTTTAATTGATAATTGAACTAATTTCTTGTTTTAATTGATAAAGCAGAGGACCATTACTTTCTCCCTCCCTTTCCTTGATTTTATCACACAAATTTTTTGCAAATGTGATGTACAGAAAGGCATTGGCGCTTTGGTCATTGAGTTGAGGATCCAGGACACCACCATGCTATCGGCCTTTTACCACCGTTCATATTCTGCTGTATTGGGAATTGGTTTTTCGAATTTGCCATCAACAAGAGCTAACTTGTCTTTAGCTCTTAAAGCAATCATCATGGCTCGGCTCCAGAGAGATAATTGGAGCCATCAAGAGATGCAGAGACCAGCTGCATTCAAGCTTGATATGAGTTTTAGAGGGTCAGTATATCATTGGCAATATTTGGGTTGGTCAGTGTAAGGGTAGGTTAGTAATAAAAAATTTAGTGGAACAGTACTTAGTACAGGTACTGCTCTGATACCATGTAGAAATGACAGTGAAAAAAAAGTTTTATAATATTTTCATCTATATTTTTATTGTGTACAAATGTGCATTTATATACACACAAAGAAGTAGGAATGCTATGAGAAAACAAACCCTAACAAATACTCAACAACCCAAAAACAAAAAAATTCCAAAACCTATTTTTTATAGTTGTCTTCAACAGATGTCATCTTTTAATTTCCACCGTCCATTTGTCTTGAATCCCAACGTGCTCTTCATCTAGCCCTTCATTTTCTGCTTTCAATCTTTACCGTTCATTTGCTTCAAAACCCTAGCAGGAAACTTTTCAATCTTTTACAGTAACTCTCCCTCCTCCGTCTCCTTAATCTCTCTCAGTATTCCCCTCTTTTTCCTTTTCTTATCCCTCTCTTCTTTCCCTTCCTTACGACTCACGTCTCTCCTTCGGATGCCTTTGAGAATTAGGAGTATTCTGTACACTCTACAGCAGCTTTGCTCACAGGGAAAAAGAAAACAGAACGAGAAAAAAAAAGCGCCTAAGTCAGAGTTTCTTCCATTTACCAGTTCCTCTTTCCTTAAAATTTCTTTTCCTTCTCCAGGGAATTCTTTTTTTAAATCATTTTTAAGCTTCGTTGTTTGAGGCTGCTTGGTCAGTCAAATCAGAAATGATTTCTAACTCTACACAGGGATCGAAGCAACAAAACTAAGGAAGCTACCATGGAAGTATCACAAAATTTGAGACGGAATAGATAGGAAATTTTAATTTATGAACAGCTAAGGTGCATACTAAGAGTACAAATAGATCGAAATAGAAATAGAAATAGAAATAGAAATACCATGTCCATAGCTGTCTCTGCAAGAACTCGATGGTGGAGTTGACAAATTGACACCGTGGCGTTAGCAAAATATTGAGAGAAGAGTAGGAATGCGAAGCATAAACTGATTCGCGTCCATCGTAAGGGAGATGACGAACGCGTGGAGAGCCATGAACGTGCCACGTTGCTGGATGAGGGTGTTGGTTTTCCATCTGTCATCGCCATTGGTGCCGGCTTTACGAGCTTCAAGAAGAAGTAAGCGGCGGCGTTCCGTCAGCGCCGCCCTATGGTTTAAGTAACAAGGTTCTGGCGAGAAACTAGAAAATATATTTGAAAATTCTTAAAAACCATTCCTCGCAATCCTTCCTCAGCCGGCGTGGAACTTGAGGAGTGAAGCTATTGAATTTGCGGTCTTTTTTTTCTTTTCATAGTTTATCAATCTAAAAGTGAATTGGATCCGATCAAATCAAACATTTACTAAAGCTGAAAGTTTTAATTAAAAACAAAACTAATTTAATTTTCAGGTCGGGCAAGTAATTTTCAGCCGGTCCAGATTCAAATGGATAGAATTTTAATATTTAATATCTTATTTTAAAAAAAGGTAATTAAATTTTTAGTTTATTTTTTCAAATAATTCTTTTTTTATTCAATATAATTCATTAAATTTTTTAATCATATTATTGTTAGAAAAAAAAAAGATATTATTTAAATCTATTCTTAAAATTTAATTTAACTAGTTAAATTGAGTGAGGAAGATAATTTAATTTTTATGCTACTAAAGTCATTTTTAAAATAATTTTAAAGCGATGGGCCATCATAGTACTATTCTAACTCTATTTCAAAAAAAATTAAATTATTTATCGATTTAGGTCTAATAAATTTTATATTTTTTCTTTCTTCAATTAGAGATGAAAGTATGAATTTTATTATAAAATCTTATGTAATGCACAAAAAATGCATGTACCATTGTTCAATTACTTTTTATTATTATTATTATTTGTTATCTTATTTTATCGAATAAAATAAACGAATCATTTTATTATTGGAATAATAATTAATTAACTTGCTAATTTTTTTTATAAGGCACAAGTAAAAAAAATTTATCATAAAAATAGAAAAACTACTAAAACTTTGTGACACTCTCACAAAGATTTATGTACAAAAATGGGGCAAGTCCTTGTGACTATTATTTTATATTATTAAATAAGTAAATTAAAAAATATATGAAAAATAGGGAATAAATCTTATTGAACATTATTTTAGACGAGAGAGAACAATTCTAGACCTCTTTTCTCTTTTAAGGAAATAGCAAAAAGAAATATGGTTAAAATTAGTGTTATATTCAAGACATTACAGTTTATTTTACACCCAATTTTTTTTTTTTAAAAAATTATAATTATAATTAATAAAATATATGAAAAAAAAAATATTATATGAAAGTTAAATTTAATTAATTGAAATAGTTATAAATAATTAAAATTTTAAATTAATTTTTTATTTATTAAAAAGTATAAGCCCGTGACAAAGAGCCCACGTTAAAAGTTCAAAATCCATTTTGACAACTAAACTTTATTGAGATTTGAGCCCATCGGAAACACGATAAGGAAAATACAAAAAATTATGAGAACAAGAACAAGATTCTGCTTCTGTTGCAGAGTCGCAGCGTATGAGACAGACAACTCATTTCACTCTCAGCTTTAGCCTTTATAGCAGAGCTGATCACTGACCACCATGTAGGGCCGACCAATGACCTGAGATGTACGCTACCTTATTTCCTCTCTCCTCTCCCTCTTTTCTTTAAAATTTCTATTCCTTACTTAGAACAGGTCTCACTCTCTCAGGCGAAACGTAGCACCATCTGACTTTCTAGCTAACCGAAGATCCAACACGTCGAGGTTTATTCGATCTCACCTCGGCAGCGGGCTGAGACACTGTCTTCTCTGCCGAAGTTGCTGTCGTGTCACGATTTGCACGTCTCATCCCCGCTTCCGCACACCCGCGCCCCAATTCGATCGGCAATCGTGAGTAACTATGTTTTCTCGAATTAATGCTAATGTAATATTTGTATCTCTTGATTAATGGTTCTCCATGTTCTTTGTTCACATTCTAATTGGTAACTGTGGCGGAGTATGTCTCCATATCCCGGTTTAGTTTGTGATTATTGTTCTTTACTTTTGATTATTTCCATTTTGCTCACTGTTTTTTCTTGGTAGAATCAGCCTGATTGCATAAAATAACCGGTGGCTTCAATGATTTATCTTCATTATGTTTGGGACTGTATAGAGTTAGGTTTTCCGTTCTAAATTGGCTTCCTTTTGGTATATTTAACTAATCAAGTCTTGAAAGTTGCTTCCATCAAAAAGTCTAGAAAATTTAAAGGTCTTGTTTTGCTTGATTAATGTTGGAACAAAGGCTTCTGATAGGTTGACCAGAGCATTCGCTTTGTGGTCACTATCTCGCTTTGTGAGTATGGCCGAAAAGGCAAGATGCTAATGAGAAGCCAGTTGATTTCCAGATTCATTATTTGCATAGTTTATTCAGAAGTTCTCAAGTTTTTTTATGCGGTTCCCAGTAGCTTATTTCTAAGTTCTCGTTTCTCTTAAGTAATCTGGTATATTCAGTGTGGCTCAATCACCTGCCTTGTTTGTATGTTAAGGCCTTGGGGACAAATATCCGAAAGAAGACACTGATTCAGACCATGCAGCATGTGTTTGATGAATGGCCTTTGAAAATGATTGTTTCTTTAACTATTGTATAGTCCCATTTTTCCTTTCTCAGTATGTTGTACTTCACTAGTATTATTATTGGAGTATATTAAGTAGATCATGGGGTAAATAAGTTGTTTCTTAAAAATAGAAAATAAACACAGGTTTTGCAACTATTTATTTTGTGGCGTTGCATTATCAAAGACTGATTTTGTGTTGCATACTAGTACACTAGTATTGACTTTTTTTGATTGTTTACTTTTGAGGGTTTTTTTTTAAAAAAAAAATCTTTGCTTACCTTTTTAAGAGAATCCTTGATTGTTGGTTTGCTTGGATAAGGTTCCTTTGTTCTTGGATTCTTTCTTGGGTACTTAGCTTTCTATCTTCCTTGGATGGATGAGTAGATCAACTTAAGTGGGTGGTTGGTTGTTGGATCTGTATTATTTGGATAAATCAGTTTAGTTGTTTTTTTTTTTTTTGTTGATTATTCGGATTGATGTGGATGGACTAATATTCTTAATCCATTTGCTTGCGTGAAATCTATTTGTTAACTTTAATATAATACTAATTGAATGAGAACTAAATAATTCTCATAAGAAAATTAAAAGCATTTAAAGCATAATCAATATCCTACCCCTAGCCTTTCAATAAACACTATATCTGACTGAAATATAATTCCTAATTAATTAGGAAACTAAGTAGCTAAATCTACTATATATCACAGATGATATAAATCAGCCTCACATTGAAGCACAATGAAAAAATGGGCGGGGGTTTTGTTGGGGGTTTGAGTCAACATGGTACGTTAAGGTGGCCTTGGTAGTGGATATTCTTTTGAGGGATAAGCTCAATACTCAAAACTGTTCTATTTTCATATAGCTATCCATAAATTAAATGTTTTAACAGTTAATATTTGAGGGATATTTGACATTGTTTCTCTATCACAGGTTTCTTTGTGCCTCAATTTCCTTCCTCACTTTCTAGTACTTGTTAGCATTTCAATTCTCACTTCTCTTTACAGGGGTGATTAATCTTTGTTTCAAGTTCAATTTCTGCTTCTGGAGGTTGGTGGGTGAATTTCATAGTCCACGCATTGTCTCAAAAGTATAAGATCCATTGAGGACATTTTGCACATTCCATACCATGCTTAAGGTTCCAGATCATCAGGTTGCTGGCCACCAGGCCCGTGATGGGCAGCTTGGACCCCTCATAGATGACTCGGGCCGCTTCTACAAACCTCTCCAGGATGATGAACGAGGCTCCAAAGAGGTGGCTTTCTATACATCATTCTCTTCCAACAAGAGAATTCCGGATCATATCCGCAGATTCTTTCCTGTCTTCTATGGCACTCAACTTATAGGTGCATCTGATGGGTCTGGTCTGCGCCCTCACCTTGTGTTACAAGATGTTGTTTCAGATCGCATCAATCCATCCATTATGGATGTTAAAATTGGTTCTAGAACATGGTATCCCCAATCTTCAGAGGATTACAACAAAAAATGTCTAAAAAAAGATAGGGAAACCACCAGCTTGTCCTTGGGATTTAGAATATCAGGTTTGCAGATATATGTCAGCAAAGAATCAGGATTCTGGAAACCAGATAGGAAGCTTGTCCTGGGTTTTACAGTGGATGATGTTAGATCAGTTTTGAGGAAGTATGTCTCATCTAACTCACCTACCAATTTAGATATGGATCCTGACTGTTCTTTTGCACAAAGTGTTTATGGTGGTTCTAGTGGGATTTTGGCACAATTGTTGGAGCTGAAGGCATGGTTTGAGGATCAAACAATTTATCATTTCAATTCTTGTTCAGTTCTCATGATCTATGAGAAGGAACCACTCCTGCAAGGAAAGAATGGCCATCCAGAAATTAAACTTGTGGATTTTGCACATGTTGTGGAAGGAGGAGGTGTTATTGATCATAACTTCTTGGGTGGACTGTGCTCTTTGATTAAGTTTGTCTCCGAAATACTTACCAGTCCAGATGAGTACTCAACCAAATCGTATTCACTAGATTCTGGGAATAAATCCATTTGTACTGAAAACGGCAGTCCTTGATGACACTTGATTTTGTTGACTGTCACTGATGACTCCCATTCAGTGAATGGCATGACTGTTAAAGATATCCACCCCTGCATTTATTTTGCATCAAGCTGGCACAGAATTTCGATGTGTTTTGTAAAGGATAATACTCCGAAATAACAACTGTTTTTTGCAGCTGAGACACCAGTGGTTGGCTATCTAATTTCTTGTAATCACTCGAAGAAATTTGTCTGTACTGATAAGTGCGGTAAAGAATTCAATAGATCATTGTGATTGAGTCTGATTTAATTAATAGCATTATTTTAAAGGAACTACCCTTCTCCATTTCTTTTGCTATCAAGCTGCAGTTTAAATTTCAATTTTATGCATACATAATTCACATTAATTGCTTTCCCTTGACATCTATATGTGTAATACATAAATATATATAGATTTAAGATGCTTGCAGACAGGCTCATCCTTACAGGCCCCTCCACCCTAATCACAGAAACCGAGCTCCTAATAATTAACAGCAATCTAACTTGCATTCGGGAAACCAGTCATTTCTTAATTGACAAGTTAATACTTGACTCTCTCTATAAGAAAATCCAAATTTAAAAAGTATTATTTTTTCTTTAGAAGTTTGTGTTATAATTTACATATATTTGTTACATAGTTAATAAAATATATGTATTTTCGGCAATTAAAAAAAAAAATTACAGTGAAAGAGTTATTTCTTTAAAGATAAATTTCTAGTGATCTTCCTTCAAAGCAATGGGCTTCTTTAAACACAATCTATTTCAAATCTAGTAGTGAACTCCAAGCCTGAAAAAAAATTGACTTCCATTTCTTGCACCTCTAAACCTCTGCTTATATATAATATACAAAACCAACACTATAACCCAATAAAAACATTCATAAATTCTTCCCATAAAAACCAAAATGAATCCATTGATCATCCTCTCCATTCTCTTCTCCAGTTTCATCACAATCTGCAAAGCCGACCGCGACAACCTCCAAGATTCTTGTCCCGCAGCTCCAGGCAAACAGACAATCTTCTTCAACGGCCTGCCGTGCAAAAACCCAGCCGACATCAGCGCCCCAGATTTCAAGACCTCGAAAGTCGCCCACCCCGGCGACACAGACAACTTCCTTCAATCCTCAGTGACAATGGTGACGGCGGCAGAGTTCCCCGGCCTCAACACTCTCGGTCTCTCCATCGGCAGAACCGACCTCGAGGTGAGTGGCATCGTGATGCCCCATTCTCACCCGAGAGCATCGGAGATGATATTTATCAACAAAGGCCTCGTCATTGCCGGATTTGTGGACACCCAGAACCAGCTTTTTCAGAAGGTACTCCATGAAGGAGACGTGTTCGTCTTCCCGAGAGGACTGCTACATTTTTGCTTGAACGGTGGATATGAGTTTGCCACTGCTTATTCGGTGCATAACAGTCAAAATCCAGGGGTGGTGAGTATAAGTGATGCGAATTTTGATCCTGATCAGAATTATATAAAACACCTGCTCAGGAGAATACAGCTCTCTCTTTCTACCGAGGAGGCTAATGGCCTTGGAAATTTCAGTCTGGCCGGATTTTCACGTATTTATAGCAATTAATGATCGATAATTATTTTTCCCAAAAAATTTAAAAAAAAAAAAAGAGAGAGAATATTATGTTTTATATATAGACATGTATCTTCATCCAAAATATAGTCTTACTTTCATATACCATATTAATGCTATGGGAACCTTTGTTTGTAGTATTATACCAAGATAGAAATCAATATTTTATGTTTTTGTTATCTTAAAAAAAATTTCACTATGATATTCGTTGGCAATAGTATTTACTATGTGGCCACTTAATACACCTACATACATACATACATACAGAGATACAAATAATTAGAACTCTGAAAATAAAAAATTTATTGCATCGCAAAATAAATATAATAAATTTATTATATCACGTATTGTTCGTTAGTGCCAAATTTAATAGATATATTTTTTTTATTAAACTTTTGATTGCATATAAATGATTAGATGATAATAATAATGACTACACAATCTTATTTTATACAACATATAAAGAATTTTATAGATGACACTAATTATTGTGACTGTAAAATTTTTTCACACTAATTTGCAAATTAATTAAGAGATATTTCAATAATTTCTTTGATGTTTAAGTAATAGAAAAGAAAAATTAGTTTTTAAACGAATGTTTTTGAGTCCAAATGTCTTATCTTTAATATGAATACTACGTAAACTTTCAGTCAGTATCATTTTGCTAAGGCCGTTGGTAAGTCATTGATACTAAAATCGGAAAGGAAGAAGAAAAAAAAAACAAGGTTCGAATTCGAATAAGTTTAAACCTTGGGGGGAAAACTCTATTTTCTGAAACATTTGGGCATTTTTATAAATATTAAAGTTAAGGAGGCACTATAAATACCCCTTTTTTAAATTCGCCAGTTTATCAAAACCATTCTCGCGCCAAAAGACCAGAGCGGAAATTCATCATAAGCGAAGAAGAGGAACAAGAGTGAAGGAGAAACAATGGTGCTGATTTGTTTCGTTTTGGATCTACGCTGTCTTTCTCCTCCTTTGCTGAGGGACCTAAAGCAGGTACATTCGCATTCCCTCTCTTTAACATATCGAAATACAGAAGACGAGATCTGAAAATTAAGAGTACGATATGCTCCTCGTTGCTCTAATTGGCTGACTGGAAGATTTTTTGATTGATGGAATTATGGAATTTGGTTTTTGATTTCTCAGTCCTTATTGCGGCTCGCTAATTTCTATGCCATATCAATTCCTCAATCTGATTCTCTCAGTGATAGGATCGGCTTATGCTATGTCCTAAAAAATCGTATCACTTGCGCTGATGAGGTACGCAGTTTTAATTTTTTCTCTGGTTTGGTTTCCAACTCATTAATTTGCACTACAGGAGTATGTTTGTATTATGATCTATGAAGTAAACAACTGAGCAAATCAATTTAGTTTTGACTGTCTGAAAAGCTAAAAGTTGGTTACTGTCCGAGAGGAAACTTTAATCTTCGAGACTTCCACCACGCTGTAAACAACTTGCCTACCAATGAATTCTTGCCTGAAGTCAATGAATCTGGCGCTATCTGTTGTCGTGGTAGACGCCTCTCCTTCCTATGCACGTGAGCACACAAGTTTATTCGCATTTTCAATTATGTTTCTGTGTTGATTGGCGCGATGGTTGGTGGCAGATGCAAAACTTTCAAGTGTTTTGAGTGATCGAGCTTTGTACTCTTGGGAGAACAAAGAAATCGTGAGGAAAGTGATTGTATTGAGCTCGTGTTTGTTTGATAATACTGATTCCGAGTTGAAAAAGACACTAATGGTGAGCCAAATCTTGTGGATACTTTAATTTTGGCTCATCCAATTGGCTCTAGCTAAAACAAACTTCCTTATGCAATTGGCTCATCCAATTGTTTTATGACAGGATGCAGCAGATAATTGTGTTTCAGTTGACTTTGTTTTCCTCGAGAGAAAATCTAGCCATCTCAGTGATACGCAAGAGAAGATCAACTGTTTTGTTAGGAGTATATCTGAACTAGAAAACTGTTCGTTTCATATCTTTCACCCAGGTTTAAACTAAAAACATTTTTGTTATATTTATTTTCCCATGTAGTTTTGGCTTTTGTCCTGGATCAGGATTAGTAATAGTCTGCTTAAGTTATTTCAGAAAAAATAAATAAATAAATAATAGCCTGCTTAAGATGCATCTAGGTCATAATTACTTAGTCTGATTATTACGGTAATACATTCTATTTGCAATTCGAATATTCTCATTTAAATTTTTCCATTTTTCTTTTATTATGAATGATACTGGTCATAGGATTATTAATACTGGACATACATAAATGAAGTGGAAGGTAAGTCTGTCTTTGTTGCTTCTGCATGCTATGGCCTAGGACTAACTGTTTTCTCTTTGCTAAGAATTTGGCTCTTATCCGATGATTATAGGAGGAAACCTTACCCTCCCGTAACATTTTCATGTATTCTTCCTCCTTTTCTTTCTAACGATATTTCTTCTTTCTAAAAAATCATTTTCTTTTTGCAATTTAGTTGAACTCATATGAGCTGCAATAGCTTTTTATATAACACCTTAGAATAAGATCCATGAAAAGAACAAGACTCCAGGATATCCTACAAATAAGTGCTATTGCTTCAAAATATGCAGATGCGAAAGTATTTCATGGCCTAGTAAAGCGATGGCTGCAGGATCTAAGGGAGGATATGGAGAAAGCATTGCAAGCTCGTTTCACATTTGAAAATGACCTTATAGGCTTTGTGAACAAGATAACCTGCAACTTGTATGCTTCCTCCAATCATATAATTGATGGGTTCATCCCTTGTCAGGTATTAATATCTATCATTCTTCCTCTGCATTATGCTCAAGATTGATCTTGTTAGTTAAGCATGTCTGTAATGTGTCTTTATTTGGAAAAATTAAATACTAGCAAGCACTAAGCAGAGTCTTTTCATATAGTAGAATGAGTGAGCAATTCCAGTACCATTTGAAGGTTCAAATTCTGTTAAAGCCGTCAATAGAGTTTTTGGAATGCAAGGGTGAAGCCTAGCCAGTACAATACAACCTACTTTAGGATTTGTTATTCCCTTTAACACTATATTATATATATTATTTTACCCTTAAATCTGAAATCCAAGCTATTTTGTGAGATTTGTGAGAGTGCTGTGACTGAACTACATGAGTTTTTCGTCTTCTTACTCTTCCACTTTGATTTGCTTATTCAATTTATCACATTGCACAATAACCATGCCATGGAATTTTGAACTACGTGTTACTATTAATAGGATCATATATGTTGCAAGACTGCAGATATGATTAATGGATACTAAAGTATCCTCAACCATTTTGACAATGTGAACCAGTGATTAGAAGATTATACACACTTACTATCATCTCAACCAGAAGTATTTATAAAGCCTCATTACTCGCTAGTCATAGTGTATCTACTATCGTAGATAGTTATCTACAGTATGTAGAGTTCTACCTATACTTGTATTATATATGGACTAATAGCCTTGGATTTGTACGCTTTGATTAATTATGAGAAATTGGACTTCATAAAATTTACAAACTCAACTACTTCAGATGTGACTCCTTGTGTTACGAAAATGTGCAAATTTCAGTATAACCATCTGGGTTCTAAATGCAAGGCACTCAAGATGGCTCTTCATTTAAATATTCAATTGCCACTGTTGAGACTTTTTAACATCATTCTTATCTGTTGCTATTCAGATATATGTGTCATTATTCTGTTCTTATATCTTCAGTGCATGACAGCAGAAGCTGCATGGTACCATCTAACATAGTTTTTACTAATATAGTACTACTACTATGATTATTATAGTCATTATGTTTTAGCTAGTCTTTTATATTTTGATAAGGTTTTAGTTCTTATTTTGTTAGTAGTCTCCTTTTGTTATTGTTTTCCTATTTAAAGATTCTAGTCACAATAGGCTATATAAACACCCATAGATACACGGGTAGTTCATCATTATTAAGTAAACTGCTCATGAATAATATTATTGATTCTCTCGCATTCAATTGAGTGCCTATGAACTCTGTGATAGTGGTTTTGATAATCTTGTTGCCAATCTCTGTAATTGTATCTTCTCTTCCTTTAGTCTTCCTATCTCTCTAAATCTTTTTTGCTATGCTACGTCTATAGTCTCTCTGTACTGCAATAATGTTTTGTTTCTTTACCTATTTCTGTAGTTGCTCAACTCCTGTCTAGATGTAGAACATTTTTAATCACATGCACTGCCTGTAGACATGCAGATGCCATGGCATTGTATTAGGTGATGACGCAAAAAATAAGATTAAAGGGCCTTCTTGTTCAGTCACTGGCCATGATCTTGGAAATTTTGAGGTAAATGAAAATTCTGTAAAGGTTGGAGAGAAGACAATTCTGTTCATGCCCTCCTTCCAGAGCTCTATTATTCTCCAGCAAGTTTCTTCACCCATTGATTTCAATGTCATTGAGAGGATTAATTTGGGGTCTCTAAGTGAAGGTAATTCTCAAGTGTGAATATACCTTTACTTTCTATGTATTAGCGAATATCTACTTACAATTTCGGATAATTAAATTTCACTTTCACTTAGCTTGTTTTGGCAAAATTTCCATGGATGTGAAAATCCTCTGTTTAACATGTTATGGCACCTTATTTTAGAAAGTCTTAATGCTCATGCACAAGTTATCAGCAAAAAAGAATATCTATTAGAAGCATAGCTAAGATGGTTTCATGTACCATAGACATGTACATCAGATGAGTGAAGAAGAATTAAGTAGGAATAGAGATAGAAATAGATTGAAACAGAGAGAAGAGAATCCGAGTGTGTAGAAGAGAAGAAGAAGATTGAGGGTAATTGCTGATTCATTCACAAGAGAATTCTGGAATTACCATGCATACCCTTCTTCTTGTGATCATCCTTTTTCTACTACTTTCTCTTTTGAATCGAAATAACAGGTCAACAGATAACAGACAATTCAATAAGGGAAAAGTAAAAGGACAATATCAGGAACTGTATTAGTTTGCATAACTAATCAGCGTAATTAATGAATTAAGCTTATTCTAATTGTGCTTAGCTGTTTGAGAAGGTGCCTCCTGTTGCTAGTCCAAATCCTCTGTTTGAGTCTTGGAAAATGGTCATGCAAGTGGAAGCTGAAAATCTTACAATTTAACTGTTGCTTTGTGTTTGAACTGTTGGCTTCATGGATTGACTTTGTATAAATTCTTTAGTTGAATGTAAATCAATTATCAGTTTCTTCTTCAATTTTCGTTGAAATGTTTGTAAAATAAGTTGGGCATGCACTAGGAATGCTATATAAAAGTATGAGCAAACAACCAACATCCAGTTTCTTTTCTTCACCCTTTGCCATTTCTCCATTTCTGAAGCTTTCTTTAGCCTCACTTTTATGAACTTTCAAATTTGTGGCCTGTGCTAAATATTCAATGTTGCTAGGATCTGATTTCAACTCTTCTATTGTGTTGGAAGAATTATTTCTTTCCCTTGAATTTGCCTATCTTTCAACTCTGATCGAGCTCTCAGCTTATTATGATGGTCTACCACATCCACTGGTTCTGCCACAAATTCAATGCCATAAGGATCTGCTTTCAACTCTCTTTTCTTTTCTTAGATTAGTCATGCTTTTATTATTAATTTCCCTTTTCTGAAACTTGATCACAGGTGTCATAATGGGGGCTTCCTATGTTGTTACTCCAGCATCTTGTCACGAAATGGAAGCTGCTTCAGATGAAACAGATCAGTCAGAGTTGAATGCTCAACGTCTGTTGAATACCTTTCTTTGAAAATTTGGATTTCTGTAGAAATGATTTATAGTTATTTTCTTTAAGTTTTCATATCTGGTATTCTTCCTGGGTTTTGTAATGAATTCTTTGTGGGTGCTGCATTTCTTGCAAGTTGCTGAGATTTACCAATTATTTGGCAGTTTTTCAGGGCCTTTGTGGTGCTCTACGTTCACTGGACCAAGGATTGGTGTGCTCTTCAAATTGTAACATAGAAACTATGGGGAAGGCTGCCTTTCACTGCTATTATGCTCTTCAACCTTCAGATAATGGACCGATGCTTCTAAGGGTAAACTTTAAGGCCCTATGGCTAATGAAATATGTGTGCATGTGTGGTAGTTATCTGCTTCTTATTCTTTTCAGCCTGTGTTCTTTTCCTGCCTTGTCTATCTTAACTAGCTATTATTTGACTTGCAGAGACTTGCTGCATCAGAGGAAGTTCTGCCTATTCCTGATGCCACTCGGTTCGTCGAATCCTCACCACCTGGAGAGATCGAGACTTCTATTCGAAACTCTTTGTTGAAGGTTGAATTTTGTCTTACTAGCCTCTTTCTTTTTTTGCTTTCTTCATTCTTTCATTTTTCCTTTTGAGATTTAACTTTTTATCTTTTACCAACAGCTTTTTCTTTCTTAATGACGTATGATTTTGCTGCATCGAATCACTATAAACAGCCATTAGCATCAGAGATTTTTTAATGACAACTTGATGAGATTATGATTGACAGTGGATTTATCTTTGGGTTCCATAGACCAACAAGTACAACTGAATCAGGCCTAGATGGGGGTAAAATATTTATGTCACTAAATAGTTAGTTCCATCAGTGGTGGATAATGTGGGGATGAATTAATACACAAACTTCTGAAAAAATAAAACTTGTCAGTTATGAGACCCTGAAAGGAAAATGAACAATCAAACTCAGGTTTCGGCTATATTTGATGGCTTTAGACTAATACAATAAAAACATAGAGTTTTGTGACTGTTTCATATGGTAATAGAGGCCTTGAGGTCACTGCATGTTGGGGATTGAGTACGCATGCAGTAATTGGCATACTCACTCTTGTCCCTCGTCTTTCTTTCTGATTTGCCAGATTGCATCAAAAGACTATAATCCACTACTGCATGAGAGGGGCTTCCACCAAAAACTAAGCTTGCTTGTAAAGGAGAGCTTACACTTTGGGTACTATTCTGTCTCCCTTCAGCATTAGAGTATGATACAGCTATTACCTCTTATGATATGTTTGGAATAAATCCAAACTATATGTCGAATTCATTTATAATTTATATTTATCTCAACTAAAAAATAACAAAAAATTTACTTAAAAATAACAAAAATTGAGCTCATATGGAACTTCACGGGAAATAAGAATGATGAATTCCAAATCCATGTGAGTTCAATTTTTAGTCTCCTCTAATAGAATCTGTATTTCTCATAGTAAAATAAGTACATATTTGCAAATAAATTCCATTCGACATACATTTTGGATTTGCTCCTAACTTAGGATTATGAACTATTCTTTAATTTCTTTTGGTCATCTTAACTAACTGTATCCTGTACGGTGTCCATCTGATACTGGAGTCATTAATTACGTCCAGAAGAAGTTACTTTTTCAGTGAACTTCCTGGAATTGGATTTTGAAGCTTAGCAAAAGTATGTCCTTCTGCTTGTTTAAATTACGTCTAGAAGAAGTTACTTTTCTAGTGAACTTGATTTTGAAGCTTAGCAAAAATATGGCCTTCTGCTTGTTTATTTTTGTTTAGAAGGGAAAGAATGTTATTCATAAGGTTGAATGTCTCCACGTAATCTAGTATTTCACGTGATGGATAAAATATTTAAGTAAAATAAATGATTGCTACTGTAGGCAGTAAGATCTTTTTTTACATACTTCAATTTCAGCATTATTAAGGAGGAGGCATCATTTTCTTATATCTTTTATTTTAGATGTTGCACAATGTGTCAGATAGCAGAGAAAATTAGGCAGAAAAGATTCCATTTTTTTATATGCTCTACTGCCCATTTCGATCCCTCTTCTAAAGTCAAGTAAATTTATTGTTTATCATGATTATTGGCACTCAAAGACCCTGAAAGTTTTTGCCTTGTCAACTTAAAATTCCAGGTCATTGCCTTTGAAACTGAAAGACACGACATTTGAACCAAATGCAACCCTACCAGATTCTTTAGAAGTGGCTAAACAAGGACAGACAAATTCACAGATAGATTTCGTGGTTTTGGAAGAAGAAACCCTGCAACAGGATCCGACATCTGGAGAGGACATAAACTCTGCTTGCATTGCCCAAGAATGGGAACAGCTAGTTGTCACTGAAGTCCCCAGGAAGTATTCTCCAACTTGCACATTGAAACCAAAATTGGATCAATCAATTTTATCTCCACCAGACTCTAATAAGCAGATTGATATTAAAACGTCAAGGATATTGGAGAGACTGGAGATTCCAAGGCAGTTGAAGGCAAAAGTAGTTTCTCCAACCATCATAGGTAGTAGCCGCATCATTTCAGATGCGTGTATGCCAGCAAAGAAGCCTCTGATACCTTTCTTGGCAACTGGCAGTTCAGAGCAGGGAGTGTCTTCAAGCCAGCTTATGAAACCGAACTTTCAGAGATTGAAAAGAAAACATAAATGAGACATAACATCTATATCACCCATGTTGTAAATATCATGGGCAAACAATTTGCGGTATGGTTTTCACGTGAATGATAGATATATTGAAAACTTGAAATGAGAAAAGACACGGCACTACGTCCATGACTAACTTGTCACTATCCGTTATCTTAAAAATTGACTGCTATTTTTTTTTTTTTTAATTCTCATATTTTCTTTTTAAATTTTCCTTTCAATTAGACAAAGAACGTAAGGTAGCTGCAGTTTTTTCCCTTTATTTTTTTCAATTTTTCTCGATCAATTCCAATGTTCTTGCACCGACCAATTAGCTCAGGTGGTTGATACTATCTTTTATCTCCAAGAGACAGAGAGTTTAAGTGACCCATTTAATTGGCTTAAAAGTGAAAAAGAAAATTCCAATGCTTTTACCTTTCTTATTACAAGAATTTTCAGGGGAATGAAAGATAAATGTGGAGAGATTCAGAATGAATATAAAGTAAAAAAGAAAAAGGCTCTTACAAAGAAGTGAATAATGTATATTCGTATATACATTTATATTCTATAGAACTCTGAACGGGTAAAGAGAAAAAAGAAAAAAGAAAAAAGAGAATATTCCATTCAAGTTCTGGCATCAAGTATTTATTGTAGCCCCAATAATTATTAATGGTCACCAAAATAAACATCAAAACAAGGAGATGATATTTACAAACAATGATTGAATACACAATTACAATGGGGAGGGACCATACTTGCTAGTGACCTTACAAAATTTTATAAATTCGATTTAGAATTGAAAATTATCCAATTAATAGAGCTGAAAGTGATACATACAATTAGTTGTCAAAAAGGAGAGTGGATATTAAAAGATAGTGATATAACAAGTTAACAGGATCTGGTCGGCAATTTAGAATTTATGCATTGATAATGAGAGAATCAGCAGCAGGGCGGGCAGGACTAGTTGCACAGCATGGACCGGAAAATTTTGGCACATTCACACGCTTCATATTCCAAAACCCAACCCAACTTTCGATTGTTTGTGTGTTGGTGGGCCCCCACAGTCCACAGTCAATGTTTTTGTCTCCATCACGTTGAATAATTTTCTATTTCTATTTATAATGGCTGCCATAGTGGGAAAGCAAGGAGGAAAGAACTACACAGTGTAGAGAGTGGGGGAGATAAAATTACAAACAACTCTTAGTGGAAGTGGGCTTCTTCTTCTTTTATCAAAAGTTCTCTTTATGGAAGTCAAATTTGGTGCTGGTCTTGTGAGAAAAATCTAAGGCCAGCTGACGTAGCTCTTTCGTCAGCGTCGGTGCTCCACAGTAAAACACTCCTGCATATCCAAAGTATCTATTTTAGTTCGCATGTTTAAAAACTTCAAAAAAAAAAAAAAAAAAAATATCTCCGAGCAATTCGCGTTACCAAAATGTTATGATTTATACAGTAAACCACGTTATCAATAATGGCCGCTCATGAGAAAAAGATTCCCTAAAACTAGAGATTATCTGTTCATTTTTGTTTCCATTATTAAAAAAAGAATGAAAAAGACGCCAAAGAATCTATATATATATATTTATGCAAGTGGTGGAATGTGAATGGTATTATTCAAAAAGTAAAAAAGAGATGCATAAATAAAAAAGTTGGTATTAATAATTAGTGGACTCACCAACTCGAGAATTTGTATGATTAACAGCAATGCGCTTGTACACATTGCGCCAATTAGGTTTGGCAAAGTGGGATTTGACGCGTGTACCAGACACAATGTCTACGCCATTCTTGGCGTGATTGATGGACTGGAGCATGGTAATGAGAGCAGAGCGAGCATCACCTTCTTCATAAACACTGGTACAGTAGTTGTGTAGCTCAATGACATTATTGTGATCTAACTCAGCCACTTCATTCATCACCCCTTTAAACCAATCAAATGACCCTTGTTCCCTTGTCACCCAATAAAAGTATGCCCTTCTAGTCTTGAAGTTTTCTCTTCTTTTCGGCGTGGTAGGGCTAAGTGTTGGGGTTCCTGCCGTTCCATTCTCTATAGCATTCTCTTCGTCTTCCATGGCCCTTATATTGTTCACAATGTCTTTTACAATACTGATCATTGGGGTGGCCCCTATTCCTAGACCCACCAGCAAAAGTACTTCATATTTCTTGTAGTCTTGCGCTGGTGCCCCATATGGACCATCGATCAGCACTCTTGGGAAACTGTTCACATGACAAAAGTTCAAAACATTTTATTCTACCATGAAGCAAGACTTTTTTAAAAGCCAAAAGAGACTTTTTGAGTTCAAGTTCTTTTATTGTTGGATCAAACGGTTTATCATATTTATATACTTATAATTTAATAATCGGATAGCTAAGATTTTAAAATTATCTGAACCACAATAAAAAATTCTATGTATGTAAAAGGGACAATAGAATAAACTGCATTTTACCTTTCTTTCTCAGATTACTTCCATAAAGTACAATGGCTCTTTCCTATGGCTTATCTACAGTAACTATCTTAATTTGACGCAAAGAAACAATACGGGAGACCTCATCTCCAGTCTAGGTAGCTTTCAACGCTGACATTTGCAGATCTACAACGTGAGCTACTCGTTCGTATCAGAATGTGAAAAAAAAAAGGCCACAAAGCCAAAGCCTAAGGTAGGCATGTGGGTGCATGTTAGCTGTCTACCAAGTGATGCCATCACTTAACCAATAAAGAAATGCCAATAAGACTGGTGAAAATTGAAATAGTTGTATATATATCCCAACAACTACGATTCACTTGGCTAAGAAGTTGACTTTAGTAGTTGATATCACGTATTTCAGGATGAACTACCAACCTTCTAGATTAAAACTCCTAGATATTAATAGTTATTGATTATATTATTAATTATAAATTACTTACTTGGGGTGGCAGTTTCCTTGCAAGCCGTCGGCTCTTAAGAGTCCACTTATACCATTGGGAGGCGGCTGACACACCTGAAAAAAGGAATGGACAAATAAATAAAGCTCCAAACTAGTAAGGCAGCTAAACTTCATCAGCTGGACCTTCTAATCTTAATTAATTAGTTCTTGAATTCGATTCTAATTTATATAGTGAAAAAATGTAGTTGTTATGATTAAGAATCACACACCTCTGAGAATACTGTTCGCAGCTGCCGTGTCCAGTCACCAAGAGTTCTAATGTGAACACTGAGGTAGTCATCTCCTGGGGCTGAAGTGATAGAAAATGGATGCCTGTTGACATGCGAACCACCAGCAACCATAATTAATATGCATGAGAATCTAAGAAGCTGCAAATTTTGACATATGTCTTAGTGGATATGACTATCGATCAATTTTGCGTACCATTCAAAGGGAGATACTGCGGCACAGTTGACAAACATATATTGCCCGCTTTTGTATCTAAAACCTTGAGGCTTTGACATGTGTAGTGCCAACACGTTTCCAGGATAAACAGCCACCTTCATTGTGAACCCAAAAGAATTAAATTCCATTTAATTTGACCTGACTAATTCAATCAAAGCTGTATATATTATATTATATACCTTTTGTATGGACACTGCCTTGATGCTGGACCTTAGTGCTCTAATCAATCTTTCACAGGCGTAAAGGGTGATTGGTATTGCCAAGTACATCCAGGTCTGCGAGATTGCCATGAAAAAATTTAATCTTACGTTCCACAATTATGGACTATTTTAGACCATAAAACAAAAAGAATATGTAAACCAAATTAAGGAAATTTTGAGAGAGTGCTAACCGTTTTCTTATACCATTCCTTGGTGAGGTATAGGTAAATACCATGCACAATGAGCAGGGCGTAGACTATGACAAACAAGTGATGAGAGTACCAGAAGGCATTGAAACCGGTGAGCTTCTTGAGCGGTTTGGGCAGGTTATTAAGTTTGCCTCGCCTGAACCAAGGGGTAGCCAGCGTGAAGGCTATTGCCATCAGAACTACCATCACGATTCCAGTCACTCCTTCCACTGATTTCACAAAATGCCAGTAGCTTGTTGGTTGTTCTCCAAAATATTTCACCATAGGCGCATACTTCTCTTTGCTCGCACTTAGCAGGCGAGGGAAATCACAAGCTAAATGAGCAATGCCATGTATTCCAACTCCAATTGAGATTCCCACTGCTATTACCTGCAACCATGTATAATTCCACCACTTCAGTTTTAGATTATATTATAACTGATTTCCTACCCAAAACAAATGAATTATATAACTGTCTATTACCTTGTGAAAATTGAGATTGTCATCGAACGGAATCACGATACCCAATTTAGTCTTGTTCCTGAGCCAGGTGATGGTGTTTCTGCAGACTGGCAGTAAAATCAGAGCCATATTCAATTTAAGTGTCTCGGCTGCACCTTTGGCCATGCAAACACAAGGTCCCATCACGTCATATGCAGCTCTATGTCGATATTGCACATACTTATACGCAAATAAGCCAGCCATGACCCCGATCCATAGAGCAATTACCCAAACTCTCTGCCAATTATCTAGCAAGAAGTACTTGGTTCCTCTGCACCACCGCCTTATTGGGTTGTTATCATGCGTAGGCTTAAGCTTCTGGCTTAGCATTTGGCTCAGATTTTTGCTCTCTCCCACTCTCACAGACTGGTTGGGTGCTTGCAATAGAAGCATTTCAAGGTTGTCTATCTGTTCCATGTTACGAAATATAATAATAAATCATCATCATCAACAGCTAGAAATAGCGTAGAGTAATAAACTGTGAGAACTCTCATTACCATGATGTATCCAAGATTGTCTGGGTCTAACTCTTCCATGATCAAAGCGGCGTATTCCTCTGCCTGCTTCTGGATATTAGACAGTCTGTTTGCAGAAGCGCTAAGGCTGATAATCTGTGGTTGAACATGTCCCAAGTTCAAGTTAGACACAGAGCAATTTCTTCATTTATTGTTTTAATGGACACAGAGCTGCGCTTGATCCGTGGATCGCAAAGCACAAAATAGATATGAAGTAACTTCCTAAATTTAGCTCGCTTTTTCACTTTTAGACTTTTAAGTTAGTTCAGCCATTGTTAATGATACCTCTTTGACTTCCTCTTCAGTGATCCTACCATCTGCATCTTTATCCACCCTGCATTAACTTTACTGATTAACCTTCCAAAAACAGTGGAGGGAAATTAAGTAATAAAACAAAAAGAAGAAATAAGCAACTTACATGTCAAAGAAAGTTTGTAGCCTTGAATCGAAACTCTGATCGGAAATCTGGTCCCAGAATTCTCTTAGCTGAGACTTGCTGATTGCATCCCCGCTAATGCCTCGTTTCCGAGTCAAAGCATCGAACAACTCTAATGCAAACTCCTTTGAATTCATCCCTGCAAGCGTTACCAAATTGCAATTAGAATTAACTCAGTAATACTAAAGCGTCTATGTTTTTGTTGCAATTATGTTCAAGAAATAATGTAGTAACTGTTAGTAATATACCGATGCATTCGCCAAATTGCGAACGATGCAAGTTTCCGTCTGAGGAAGCAGTGAGTTCGTCGAAACGCTTCTCGACGGCGGCCCAGCCAGCTCCACCGTCGGTCTTGCTTATGAACTTGAGGCCCTTCAAGGCGTGAGCAGCAGCGGATTTTGTCCTGTCAAAGCGAGGAGCAGGAGCCGGCTTCTTCGAGAACGAAGCCAAGCGCTTCAGCTCCTGCGAGACTTGCCTGAAACGAGCCGACGCATTCCTCACCACCGACGAAGTCGACTTCTTCTCTAGACCTTTTGCCAACAGAGTCAGCTCCGGATCCTCTCCTAAATCCTCTCCGTTTGCGGCCTTCACACTCTGCACAGCCACGGAGTCCTCGCGCAAGTCGAGCGTGATCTCCACATAAGCCTCACCGTTGCCGGAAGATCCTCCAACTTCCGTCGCCGCCGGCACGTTGAATCTAGCACTCTTCTTCCCCGCCGCTGGTCTCTTGTTGAGAGGTCCACTTAAAGGACCACTATACGGAACTCTCTCCGAGCTCGCGATCTCCGCATCAGAATGGTGCCGGTGGTGATGATTATGGTGGTTATGCTCTCTCATTTCGTCCGTGCTCATTCCCTGCATCAACTTCCGAGATTTCCGTGTACAGAACAGAAAAGCAGAATCTGTAGAGAAAATGAAATTCAACTAACAGATTACTTATTTCAAGTACTAGAAACAGTTGCAGCGATGAAAAGCAAATGAAAATCTGTTTGAGATCAGGATATTCAGAAAGAAGAACAATTGAAGAAGATAATGGATTATGAAATGAGAGAAATGATTATGTCTAAAATATTTAACAGGAAAAGTAGGTAATTGCTTTTCCTTGATAAGAATTTATGAATTATGATCTCCCGCGTTGTATTTCTCACAATATATATAGGTGGGGGAATTCATCATGTGGTTTGTGCTCCTTTTCGTAGGGACCGTTGATTGCGTGGGTAATCTTTCTGATTAACGAATTAACAAATTGTATTTGTATCACATGCATAAAAAGGCTACTTCCAAAAAATTAAATATAAAAATATTATTCTTACCATTTTTCATATTTATAGTGAATTACATTTTATATTTTTAATAGTAACAATATATTCACTTTATATATTATTATATCATTTCAGATTTTCTTTTACCATAATGAAATGTGTAACTTTTTTTTTTTTTTATGAGAGTCATCAATTCATCAAATATTTTCTTAAATAAATATTTTTGGTGGATCCACAATTATCAAACTCTAGATACATGCAAGGTTCTAGAAGAATAATAACATATAAAAATTACAAGAATTCTTTCTCTTTAGATTATTTTTTCGTTGTTACGAAATAATTAATTATTGGTATTTTCAAGTACTTTATAATGTAAAAATAATAATTAATATAATAATAAATTAATTCTTTTTTTTTTTTTTGCTTTTTATGGCTGTATAAACGATAAAATTGGTGAATTAATTTGTATATACTCTTTAAGATATGCTTAATTTTTATATAATCATTTTTATTTTTTTTTTATTAAAAACTATATTATCATTAGTATCAATTATCATATTTTTTATACTTAAAATTACCAATAGAAATATATGTTTTATAATTTAGGATTTTCAGGATGTGTTGAAGTGCAGTAAGAATTATTAATGCAAGTAATTACTCTGGAATCACATGGGATGTTTAGCATATGTTACCTCTTAATTAGTCCTCTCAAGTTGCACTTAAATTAAAAATTGCAGTCAACATTGTACGACCATTTTTATAAAGAACAAATAAAATAAAATCATTTACGGATTGATGGCAGCTATTATTAAATTTTTGTAATAAATAATTAAATTTGTTATTTATAAGACACCTTTATTGGCTACTATACTTAAATTTTATTTGATGAGTAAAAAATTATTTTTTTTAAAAAAAAGTTAGTGGAAATCGGTTTGGAGTTATCTTTGTTGCTATGAAAATCACTGTGCCTACTCATTATATATGGATAACATTTTGTATTTGAATTTATTTAATTTAATTTAATTTTTTAATCAGATTAAATTATCAAAAAAAAAGAGTTTGATTAATTAATATATTAATAAACATACGATAATTAAATTTATTTAATTATAATATATTCGGATAAAAATAATATTATGTGAAAATTAATCTATATTAATTAAAATAATTATAACGAAACGAAAATTTAATTTAATATTTTTTAATAAAAAATTATATTACAAGAAGAAAACGATATATAGAGAGAGAGAGAGATAGACAAAGAAAAATACAATTTCAAATTTGAGCTAAACGATACTGAAAATACTAATGAGTCAATACTCGGATGTGACCCGCGGATTTAGTGAGTGGGCGTGGATATGAAAAATAAGAGGCAAAATTTTGACAGAACGTGTCAACTCAGCAACTCGTTGACATTTTGCGCGCATTGAATGTGCTCTTGGGCACGCGAGAACTGGTGACTGCGCCCTCAACTTTGCTGCACCTTCACTGTTTCTATCAAAGTCAAACCACTGAGTCCAAATACCCCGTTGTCAATTGAGGAAGTGAACTGGAAATTGCGTCCCATTTTTTTTTTTAATTTCATTAAAATACATTGGAAATTTATTAATTCAAAAACAAATGGAGATGAAACGTGGTAATCAAATAATATTTATAAGTTAAAATCAATTAATTTTATTTTTTAATTATATTATCTATTTGTTTAGATTATATAACTAGCTATTTAGAAAAACAGTTTATGATTGAAGTCAGTAGACAATGTTAAATAATCAAATTACATAGATATACATGTCGTATAGTACGTGCTTTCATTTTTATATAAGAAATAAGATGATAAAATTACCGAATTTGTAATTATTTATCATAAATTTATAACAATCATTAATCAAATTTTATATTCTGAAAATATTTTAGTTTGAAAATGTTAATTTTTAATTTATTATTAAATATTAAATTAAATTTTAAAAATAATAAATTCATAAATTTCTGTTTTATAAATTAATAACCTCTAATTCAGATTAAAAAATTAGAATCAGCAGACCAATTTTTAAGTTCTAATATCATGCATTAGAAACCAAAGTAGGCTATATTTAATTGAATCAAATTTGATCTACTCAATCTGGGATATAATTTTTTATTCCATTCCAAATCAAATGGCTAAAACACTAAAATATCTTATTAACTATATGAACATGTTTAAATTTTTTTGCACATTTTAAAAATGATAAAATTTCTCTTAGTCATATTTTTTAGTGGTATTTAATAGCAACGACATAGTATGTGATATGGACATGTCATATCATATCAGTTTTAAAATTTGTTAATTTGACATATATTTGTTAACTTATTTGAATGTTATATCATATTTTTTTAACTCTCTCATTTATAAAACAAAAAATATTATCAGTTTTATATATTAAAAAAAATTAATTAATCAAGCAAGGATTTAAGATTATTTATAAAAATTCGGAACCTTTGATAAAATAAAATCATAATTTAAATACGGAAGTGTATAATAACAATAGAGTTTACATTCTTTATACATAAATTAGCATGCCCAATAGAATTACAGAAATGTTCATTTCACTGCGGTTCATAAAAAAAACGTAATAACATATGAAAATAGTAAATAAGTATTGGAGGAAGGTTAACCTCCACTACCTCTTAATAGGATCCGGAGGGATACCTACTCACAGTCCTTCTGCTGATCAAGATCTGAATTTTAATCTTATTGATATGAAATGATTAATAGAGAAGAGGGTGAGGTACACTAACCCAATAAGAATATTACACTACTCACTGATATAAAAACTGAATGTTGCTAAAAAATATAAAAACAACCAATGAAACTCTTAATTTAAGTAAATTTATTTATTATAAGAAAAATTATTTATTATATATTTACCGTTGCGAGATTTTCAAAATTGACCTATAGAGACAATAACTCAAATAATATTATGATATCATATTCAAGTGAGCAAGAACAACAACTTTTTCTTTGTTTATTTTGTTTACTGGTATTTCTAGGAGTCTATAGGGGTGACCTAATTTTTAAACTTGTCAACTAACAAGCCGCTTTCATACTCCGTTCGGTATGATCGCCAAAAATACAATCCCTCGATACTTCATCCGATATGAGGGTGAATCGAGTCGTCCTCATACTCCGTCCGGTATGAGCGTCAAAAATATCATCCATCGATACCTCGTCCAGTATGATGTAACGTCACGGTAGGGTTCCCTATGTACCCATTCTGTCCACCATCTCCGAGAATATTCAGTAAGACAATCATTCATTAACTCACATAACCCAAGCAATTTTCCATTTGGATATTAATTTTAAATTTTACAAATCAACCGTAAATCATGCAAGACAAGCGATATATGCATCAAAGAAGCACAACTGAATCATTTAACCGTTCTAATATAGTATCATGTATTTAAAGCTGTAAAATTAAATAATTAGTTAAACAAGACAAATAAATAACTAATCGATTTTGGCTCAATTAGTGACCTGTAATTATTCTTAAAGTTTTTTAAATTTCATAAAATACTATATTATTGATTATTAATCTTCAATTCCATAACAGAGAATAATGTGAGGAATTTTTATCCGAATCGGTGTCCGAAATACCAAACTTTCTACTACGCCTACTAGCGGTCCCCGGACTTCTTGAATTTTTCTACGAAAATTAAAACACGCTTCATGTACCTAAAAATATAACAAAAATTCAAAATCGATATTAAAAATCCTTTATGGCCAATTTCAGTATTTCGGCACAATGGCACCGTCGTGCTCCGGCGACGGCACCACTGCTTGCAGTGGTGGTTTGGCTCGGTCTGGTCGTTTTCGGCAATCTTTATACATATCCCTGCAAAAAAACACATTAGAGAGCATCGGTTGGCCGAAAAAATCAGAAAATAGAAACCTATCGGTGGTGGAGTTTTTCAGGTGCAGCGGGTCCATCGGCTCACGTTCACAGCTGGAATTTTTTCTTCGGTCAACCTATAGAAAATAGAACAGTGAACACAATAGTGAAAAAATCGCACAAAATAGAAAACAAAAAGGGGCTCATCGGAGGAGGTTGCGAATTTTGCATGCGGTGGCTCCGTTGAGCTTTGTTCGCGGTTTCTGACTCATCCACTATTTGTTTTACTTCGATATGGCCACATGAGTTCAGTGTGATGCAAAATATTTATACTTAGCTCGCATTAATCTAGGTCGTTCATCGCATTTGATCTCGACCATTCGATCGCGCTTAATAAAGAAATAAATCTGGATCGTTCATCACGTTTGATCTCGACTGTCCGATCGCGCCTAAGGAAAAAACAGATCCGGACCGTCTATGCGTGCGGGATCGCTTCTGGGTCGTCCGATCGCGGGGCACACGGATCACTAGCATGACCTCCTACATGGCACTGAGTCAACGTGCCTTGACATGCGGCGCGCTCTGATTCGTCAAGGCTGCTGACTAGATGGTCCTACATGGTTAAATTTTTTTTATTTGTATTTTGACCTACAATTTCTTATTTTTCTTTCAAAAACACCATCCGAACCCAAATTTTCACTTATTCCAAAAATTATTTTCAATTTCATTTCTAACCTATTTTTTCATAATTTCACATTAAATTAAAATTTATTAATTTCAAAAATAAATTTTTTATACATTTTAGAATGTTAAAATTAATCTCATACCAAATTTCAGGCTCGAGTATTATAAGTCTCACCTCCTTAAAAGAAATTTGATCCCTCAAATTTGTCTCCCTCTCACTCAATCAAACAGTTGGGATATTGGGCTCTGAAGTCTGATTCTAGCTCCCATGTTGCCTCTCTCTATGTGTGATTCTACCATAAGACCTTA